TAACTTCTTCGATAAGTTCAAAGATAACTGAGACACGGAGGGTGCCTGAAAAGTGATATTTTTCAATTCCACCCTGTATCTCGACAACCGGAAGAGCTATCACAATTCTGCTTGCGCCATTATTAATTTCATGAAAAAGTAGCACACTGTCGCGAAAATCGCAATGCTCTATCTTTACTGATAAGGGAGATACCCCGCAAAAGTGCCCAAATTGGGATACCCTGTACATGAGATCGTACTTTGATGTTCAAGAATGACCAGTGACTTTCATTTATTATTAATTGCTCGTGGGGAGGGAGGAAAATCCTGTATGATATATATTGATACAAATTTTATTGAAATATCGGTCCTGAAAAATCAACTGTTCTATTCATGAAACTGAAAAACATTTTCTCCATAGTTCGTATATAATTCTTGGCACCGATTATGGTGAGTCGAATTTATACTGATCTTTCCATGTATAAGTAGTATTTGACTATTTGATGCAATTTTTCGTCATTTGAAGCCATCAAAATAATATAATGAAAAACACTTACTTTTGATGATGTGATGCACCGATAACAAGAATTCACTTTCACCGTAGTGGTGATAAAATAAGGAGAATAAGAACTGGAAGTACTATAATTATGAACAAAATAGTTTCGAATTTCGTGAAATAGGTTCATCTGGTCAACTTCCCACAGTTAATAGTGGAACTGATTTTTGAAATGAGGAATTGAAAATCAAATAATTTGGGCATTTCGGTGTTTACACATTGAAGTAATCTTCACAACAATTCAAACTGGTTATCCAATCACTATTTTTTTCGTCTGATAGTGAATTATTGGTTTGGGTTAGAACTTCTGAATAATGAAATACAACTTTCCACTGTAACAGTCCCATTCTTATACCCATCGAATATATATCACGTGGTCACTGGTAGGTATATCAGATATAAATCTCTGGTAGTAATCCAAGCTCAAATTGGAGGTGATGTGAAGAAAATTAGAAAACTGATGGTATCAAATCAAAAATGTATTGCAAATCAGTTTCTGCGCTACATGTTCCGACTCCTAGGAGTCATCATCAGGTTCATAGAATTGGAGAAAAAACATTAACAAAAAAACATAGCTAACATGGCTTGACATGTGGCAGAAGGCTTGATCATATTTCAAAAACCATCTTTTGAATTTCGGAATAACAAAAATATATAAACTTATGGAACAAAATCATAATTGTTCATTCATCTCTACCCCATATGGCTAGTATATGGCATCAATATCTTTTTGAAGGTCCATTAAAAAAAATTGTTCTTTAAAATGAGCTCAAGCTTTCTTTTATACATCTGGAACCTTCTTAGCTATGTTTTCAATGTTTTTTCCCCTCTAACCTATAAGCGATGATGATGACTCCGAGGAGTCGAAACATGTAGCGCAAAAATGATTTGCATCGAACTTCGGATTTGCAATGAGACTTTGAGTTTTATCTTCATTATTTCGATGATATGAATTCGAAAAAGTTGTTGGGATCAAATTTTCCTCACACTCATCATTTACGTAGATTTTTTTTGAATACCCACTGTATACGTATATTGTTTCACCACACACTGTTATATTAGTTCACAGTTTCATTAGGCGTTTGCGTCACTACAGCGGTTTGGAGTCACGTATGTTATCTTATCATATTTCAGTTATTACGTCAAACGACTACCAGATATATGACTAAGTAGTTTTTGAAACTCTGGAGCGTATGAGTTTTTCTTGGTGTCATAGTCATTGAATAATTTCCTTGGTTGTTATCAGTTAAATGTGGAGACATGATTGGTTGAAACTGTCGAAAAATGTTCATATCGATTAGATTATCTGTCAATGTTACAATTCAATTTGACATGTACCAGATGGTTATTTTGCCAATTCAAATTAAATGAATGCAGGTATTTTTATCTCGGGTCACTTCATCCCCAATAATAGATCAACGGGGTATAGTATTATATAGTATTATTCAATGAGAGCATTTGATCCTGGAAAGATATCAATAGTTATTCATTAAACAAGGGAAAAATGGAGTAGATTTTGGTTTCAGGTGGTATGTAAGATGAATATTGAGAAGATATTACGTTATATTGAAATCAGAAATATATCGATGTAAAATTTGAATTTTTTTACAGGAGTGACCCCTGCGTTGCAAGCATCTTTTTGCAAGCATCTTCATCATTCTTTTGAAGTAATAAAATATTTACAGTCTAATTTTCTGATTTGATTTTGAAAAATTGCGAATTCACTGGTTGTTTGGTAATTTACGTATCCGCGAAGTCGAATGGAAGATAAGAGGACTTAGTTCTTTCTCAGAGTAGTGTATACAGTGTGTCCACCTTAAGGACTTACCACCCCTGTGAAATCGTTATTATCCGACCAATTTCAAAAAACCTTTTTTTGTTGGATAGGTATTTGAAATGCCCATCCAATGAGAGAGTGATCTAATTCTTGGACTGTTATCGTGGCCAACTGCGACAAATTTCAATGAACCATATTCCAGAAAGTACTATTAGGGATTTTTTTCCACGAAACTTGATGATGGATTCTGAATCAGTACCACTTGAAATATACCTGTACCGATTTTCATCATCATTAAACACAGGGTGTCCGAAAAAACGAATCATCATTTTCTTCAAATAGGTGATCAGCAAATGTAGTTCTGTGGTTTTTCTAGGAAAAAATAATCACAAATTATTATTGAGGACTATTTCAAATATACCTGTACCAATTTTCGTCATTTGAATATTCAATGTGTCTGAGAAAAAAAATAAAAAGGATAGGTAAGCAATATTTTTCATCCTGATAATTCTTCACTCAAAATGAAAAGATGAATCAGGATCACTTGGAACATACCTGTACCGATTTTCATCATCATCAAATACAGAGTGTTCGAAAAATCAAATTAATATTTTTTTTGAGTTGAAGAAAAAATATTGCCTACTTTTTCTTTTTAATTGTTTTCCCATACACATCGTATTTTTGAATGATGAAAATCGGTACAGATATGTTCAAAGTGATCCTCAATAATAATGTGTCATCAATTCTTCTCAAAAATATCACAATACTACATTTTCTGATCACCTATTAAAAAAAAACATAATTCGTTTTTTCGGACACCCTGTGTTTTATGATGATAAAAATCAGAAGAGGTGTGTTTCAAGTGATCGTGATTTAGAATCCATCATTGTTTTTTGTGAAAAAAAATCCCTAATAGTACTTTCTCAAATATGGGTCAATAAAGCTGGTCGCAGTTGGCCACGATTACAGTTCATGAGTAAAATCACTCTCTTGTTGGATGGACATTTCAAATACCTATCCAACAAAAAAAAGTTTTTCGAAATCGGTCGGGCAATAACAATTTTACAGGGGTGGTAAGTCCTTAAGGTGGACACACTGTATATGTGATATTCAGGGTGATTCAAATGTAAGCGGCATCCTTTCAGGGGCGTATTCCTTGCATGAAAATAAGGCCTGCAAACTGGTAGCATTAAATTACCAATTCCATCATCGGCACTAGTTAGAGATTCAATCATTTATGTAGGCTGTAAGATGTTTAATCATTTGCCAAGAAATATCAAAGAAGTTGGATGCAATTAAAAATTCAAACAGAGAATTAAATCACTCTCTTCGGATAAACCCGAGGATAAACCCTATTATAGTCTACAAGAGTTTTTTGATGATAGATTTTATCCATAACATCATCATTAATGAGACTATTTTAATTCATGTCATACGTGAATAGTCTGCTAGGCTTCGGCTCAATCATTTGGAATCCCTATTATATAATATACACCAAACAAATAGAAAGTATTCAGAATGAATTCATTGCTTATATCAACAAGATATATTTCAAAAACACGCCACAAAATCACTTCGTAATTCGAAAACTTAATTTGATTAGTCTTGCTGACAGAAGAGCTATGGCCGATATCAAATTCTCTTTCAAAATTATAAATGGAATCATTCATTCCTCATCTATAAATAACTTGATCCATTACAATGATCCACAATATTCCACTCGCTACTATAACTTGTTCCATACATCCATACCGAACACAAATTACTATCTCAACTCCCCTTCACATCAATGCTTGAAAAGTTATAACTCCATTCCAAAGAGATTGATATTTTTTCCGACTCTTCAACAATCTTTGTGAACAAACTCAAGAAAAATTCGTTCCAGCAACCAATTGATGGTATATTGAAAATTTTTCTTCACCATATAGAATATATAAAATTCTGCTCTGTATAATGGAATTGAATTCCTAACAACATGACATATTTAGTATACCTATATGTGAATACTGTTTCTGGGTTCGTCCTCTTTGTATTCCTGTTTGTGAAAATAAAAATGAAATAAAAAAAATACTTTGTAATGTGTCCCTTATGAACTAGCTTATAAGAGTGTTTGAATTTCTAATAGATTTCAAAATGTTGCGGTGTTAGTAGCGATTTCCTCTAGTTCTAGTTTTGTTTTTTCCAAGGTTATTTTTCTGAATTACTTTGTCAATAAGATTTTACATCTTTAGACAATAAAGCATATTCTCTCATTTTCTCTCTCAATTGAAAGTGACCGAAAAAACAGAGTAGGCGAAAAAAATATTGAAAATTTCACATACTGATACAGAATTGTCTCAGCATTCCAAAAGTTTCACAATATATAGGGTATACCATCTCAAAATTCAGAGCCGGAGTTGACCTAATACTGAAAAATATCACATTCCATTCATCTATACCAAATCTCATTTTGATATATCTCATACTCTATTAATTGAACCCCGATATAAGAAGTAGCTCGCTCAGTAGTAGCCTGTCAGTCAGTTAGTAATAGGGGTCTACCGCGTGTTCTCATATTATATACTCGAAATAAACAGTAGTGATTAGTAATAGTTCATGAATAAACAGAGTAGTTGTTCACTTCTGAAGCTTCCATCATACTCAGATCCCATATCAGTTTCTATATTTGTGGCAACATTTCGTTAATACCTTCGAGGAAGCTTCCTTTCTGGGCTCCGGCACATCAGAATCCCACTCAGAACTCAGATCATCACTGGAAGGATCACCATAGTCGATGCAGATGGGCACTTCCAGCAAACTCTTTTGATACTGCTCATATCCAGTGGTGGATCCTCTTCTGGACCCTAACACGGGACTGGAAGGGCCGTTGCTTCCCCTATAGTAGCCCTTGCTGCCTAATCTAGGAGAAGGGCAGGAATCGGAACCTGGAGATGGTGACCTTGACGGCGATCGGTTCGGGTACAGGGTGTTTTCTGGAAGAGTGGCACTTACAACACTCGGATGTTTCTCGTTAGAGGAGGGCATCGCATTCGGAAGCGTTCTTTACAATCTATACTCGTCGTTATTCTCAAATTTACTAGATCCTCCAGACTAGCACACTATGTAGATGCATAACGTCGATATAATATGGTGAACTTTGCATTTCTGATTCGTTTACGCTGGGTTTTTTATGGCATGGTTCAGAGTACACAACATAATCTATGTATGGAAAATCAAAGTAGAAACCTCAGAATGATTTTTTCTCACCGCAACCGAAGTTTAGATGAAAGAAGCCTACAAAGTACATGAATATAACCAAGTTAAATTCAGTAATGGAGTTCAGTTTTTGTATCCTGTATTTAGTCAAATGAAAAGTACTTGTCGTGAAATCATATTAACAATATAACTGTTTATTGATTGATTGATTGATTGATTGATTAATTGATTGATTGATTGTTTAGGAGCGTGTATTGGTATTCCATATTTGAACCTATTTGAAATGTTTTCGCAACTTATATCGTCAAATCAATTCTCTCGTTGGCCACCTACATATTTGTTGTCAAACTCATGTAAATATTGTTTTTTGCGCAAAATACTCTCTCTAAGACTTTGTTATATTAGAAGTGGATGATTTGTTAATGCATAAATCTTTCAAGCTATGACTATTATCAGTTTTAAATTGTCGTATCTACATGCATGCATCGGATAAAACAATCAAATTCAAGTTGCATTGAAAATTGATGATTCTGCACGATTGACAAATGCATATGCGAATGGATTTTTGTTGAAATTTCAATGGAATAATTCCACGGCATATATGCCACCCTCGTGCAGGTCCTCCTGAAGTAATTAATTGAACATGGGGAGCTATGTGGCGTAATTAAGATTCATTCCTAGGGAGGGGGGTCTAGGTCCAATATCCAATATTTAGGAATAAGAAAAGCAATACGTAACGTTGGTTTCAATAAATGTGTGCATCATTTGTAACCAATAACAAAATGAAGAATAAAGTATTGAAGAATAATCAAATAATATAACATATCAACAGGTAACGTATTATTGGGATCGAGAATAAACTTTTTCTTCATATAATGATATGACCTAAAATGCAACTCCTTCGAGGTATAGTCACTGTTAGTTTGATAAAAAACGAAGGATTATCTGAAATTGTGATCATAATAACGAATCAAGTGCAAGTATCCGCACGCCTCTGAAGTAGCAGTCTCAAATTCGTCCCGACATGCGATCACCTCCGTATGTAAGCGTTGATTACAATTTTCTGGAAAACGGTTAGTTGTATAAAAAATTGCAACATATCTACCGGATTCTTAAATTTTTTTATGGTCACAAACTCTTTTGATACTGCTCATATCCAGTGGTGGATCCTCTTCTGGACCCTAACACGGGATCATGGAATTCAAAATCAGATTGTAACATAAAATTTGGGCCATCAAAAGGGTGGACCCCCTCCACCTTCCTCAAAACTGGGTTTACATCATTTTTAAAGCAAGAAGGAAATAGATGAGTGTCAAAGAAGAAGAGGGCATGCCAATTTTCAGAAGATGTAATCCGTTATTTTAGATAATCTTTCTTTTTCATCCGTAGATTTTCAGCCATATTTTGACCCCAACAAAATGTCTTCAAAATATTTACATCGAATTTTGAATCGTCCTCTATATGGATATTTCAATTAAATACTTGTACACATGTTGCAGTTGCAAAATTAATGTTTTTTTCTCATTTTCTCCATCTCTCCAGAACTACAATCGCACGTTTTCAATAACAATACCTAACTAACCTCCGATTTTCGTTCGGAAGGTTCTAACAAATTACATATTTCCTATACTCATGTCTATTTTTCCACTATCAGAATTGTTTACCAGATTGTTTCGGTATTTCAGACAGCTCTAAAGGGGAGGGGGTCCATACCCTTTAAAACAATTTGCAACTTTTGGAAGTTGTAGCCATGTTTGAGCCGTTTTTGCATTCAATCGCGGTGTGCATACGCACTGCTGTAATTTTTTGAACATGCAATTTTTTCAGCATAGAGTTTATATAATATGTAACATTGACATTATAAACAATTGCAATACAGTTCTGACTATCAACATTTCAGAAAACAATTTGAATGTTGCAAATGCGAATTACAACCATTCTAGATAATAATTGAACGTAAGCTAGTGTGTTTTTCGCCAAATTGTTATACAGTCTTATACGATTTAGGAGTTTTCATATACAATGTAGATGTGTGAATGTGTAAATATGTGAAATTATCCAACAGTTTTGAACAAAACAAAGGTGGATATATTATGTATGGTGAAATAGCTCCCTCTTACAAAACCCTAGAAATTTTTGTAGACCTCTGCCTACTTGATTATGTCGAATTCTATCACCGTAGTAAGGCCGCGCAAAACTAACGCTAGATGGCGCTGTTCCCGAAGTGATCTTGCTACACAATGGTTGTTTTGTTTTGTTGTTTACATTTACGTATATTAATTCGTAATTTAAAAACATTGGGAAAAGTGATTGATTTAATGAAAAAGACGTGAAATTTACATTATATCTGTGAAGTATATGTATGTGGCACGATGTTCCGTACGCCATCAACAGTCAATCCGGTGCGGCCTTGACAAGTGGTTACACCAGTCTAATTTCATCATGAACAAAACATGAATTTTCAACAATACATAGGTATATCATTTTCTTTCTTAATGAATTTTTGGCAGAATTATTTTCAGTCAATCAAATAGAACAATAATCTATGTTAAAAGTCCATGGTATCTCAAAGTGGAGTGAATAGATGACTTGGTGTGTCTTGTTTATGAAATAGAACAATTTTAGGAGGAGGGTCTTGGCTTTCTTAATGAAAAAATAAAATGAGCGTTCTGACAACTTATTAAAATATTAAGATACGCGAAAAGGAGGTGAATCCGCATATGCATTTTTTTTCTGGGCCCCCATGTTCGTTATACAGAGCTTCCAAGTTCAAAATTCAAATCATTTTTCTGTTCAATGATTCAAAGATTTAGTCCTTCATTTTCTACTACTGGAAGTTATCACCAAAACTATGTTTTTTTTCCAAATTCTACACTTATAAAATGAAGGAATGAAACTCAATCACTCTAAATCGTTCGAAATTAACAAACTCAAAAATTCTAACATTTTACTCAACGATCAACTAGACCTCAAATCACCACTGTTGAATTTGTTTTCTTAGTAGTCAATCAGACAGTACTGGATATTCCTAGAATATTCTCTAAATATGATAAGAAGGAGGAGTATATTCCGAATATTCATCGATTATTCCTAGAATATATACATGCCTCTGGAACATCTAAAAGGAATATTCCAAAGTGAATAGTCGGATATGTTCAAGGAATATTCAGGTATGAATTTTCCAGGAATATTCCCAACTGAATATTCTCTGTTGTATAATCATGATATATTCCCAACTAAATGTTATGTGGGGTATATTCATGAAATATTCCTAACTGAATATTCTGTGCGGTATATTCATGAAATATTCTCAACTGAATATTCTGTGGTGTATATTCATGAAATATTCCATGAAAATTCCTATGTTTCTCAACACATAAATACCAATCATTATTTCAGAGATGTGAGTATCAAACATCAATTAGATGTAAGGGGATTTTGAAACAAAAAGTGTTTATGATTCGATTTGGAACAACGCTCTCACAAGAAATTGATATGTACAACATTATTCAATTCGAATACTGGCCTAGTGGTCGAGGCGTTGCTCAAATAGTCTTGAGGTCACGAGTTCGATCCCTACTTGGGTCACTTTTTTTTATTTCAGAATATGTTTTTCGGAATATTCCAGGAACATTCAACATAGAATATTCTTTTGGATATTTTCTATGAATATCTATTCCCATTCGCATATTTAGAGAATATTCCACAGATATTCCGGAATATTCCAGATTATTCCTAGAATATTTCAATATTCCAAAAGGAATATGATAGGGAGATTCATGGAATATCTGGTGCTGTCTGGAATATGTATTTGCTATCAACCCTTTCAAGTTAATCCGGTACACCGTATTTTAATGTAGATATTGTGCCTATTTTCCGAAAATGAAGGTTAATCGAACCTTTCCACAGGTAATTATAATCCTTCAGGTTGGGAAATAATGATATTAGTGGGGTCGGTTAACTAAAAATTCTACCAAAATATTTCACAACTGGCAACCAATGCGCCCTTTCAGATTCAGATAGTACATGGGTAGACGCGTTGAAAAAGCCCGGGACACAAATTTTTCTGGCCCTCTAGCGGCGTTGATGACGTAATCAATATGGCCGCCATAGTTTTGTGGCAAGCTTTTACATTTCCCTGTGTAACTCGGGTTTGTATTAGAATATTAACCAATATCATTAGTGATTATTGATGAGGAGAAAATAGGCTTTCCAACGGTATAAAATACATTATCGTTTGAGTTTGTGATTATAGAAATAATTGCAACATAATTATTTTTTTCATTCAATTTTGGTTTCTATCGAAACATTTTGCTGAATTACTCGAAACCCGCTGCAAATAGCCAAAAACGTGTCGAATACTTTTTGTTCGTCAATGAGTTGGCTTTCGAACGGTATATATATATAACTTTCATTTCATAACAAGCAGGTACTGAAAATGTATCAAAACAATGTAGCATTGCACACTTATGGCAAGAATGTAATTTATATAATATATGTATAAGTAGCGAATGTATTTATTGTTAATTTTTATGTATATTAAATAAATTGTAGCATGTTCATTACAATTGAAATTCTATTCCGTTTCAAAATCAGTGATAGGAGTCATACCCAAGATGATTGTGAGATACGTTTCAATCATATAGGTACAGGAACGAGAAATAAAAGAATTTGAATAAATACAATATTATTTCAATTTAATATGCAAATTCAGTACATATATCGTGAAATAAACTGGTATACAAAGAAAATAATAAGGTGCAATAATATTTAATGG